CGTAAATTTGCCAAAAACATCTGTATCTGTATGCATCTGAATGGGACAGTGTATACAGAGGTATGTAACTTTTTAACTATGAAGTTGCCTCAATACATTTTGACAATTTAAGACCCACTGACCTTGGACAGATATCTGCACCAATTGTTATGAAAATATTGAACAGAATGGGCAGCGTTTTCAACTTACTGATCCCAACTGGATAAATACTATAAACCGTGCTATTCTAACTTGACTTAGCTTCTTATTTATGCTATTATTATTCATTTAGTACAAAGGTACCGAATATATATGCACTACATAAGTCACTTGATTTGTGTGTGGACTGTGATACTTCCCGGGTGCCCAGACCTAAGCAGGAGTTATACTATTCAACTGCATGGTCGGATTTCAACAGTTCACGAATAGTGTTGAATATCCTTGGTAGGCGTTTTCCTATTCTTGTTTTAATCTATTTAATGGGCAGTAACGTTCTAATAGCGTTTCAGCATATTCATGTGGTAGTAAGTGACTAATGAGCATCGAGTTGAGTCATCATTTATTGAGGAATTTGTGAAGATTAAAGTTGTTTGATGATGGGGCATAAGTTGGAAAATGTCAATAATCTGACTCTATATCAATCATTAGTTTGGTACCAATCTATCAAGGCTAATGTAAGTTTACAAACGTTCCATTCACTTAACTACCTCAATTACTATTTCGCTGAATTGAGCCACTTCGTTCATTCGTAAATTATCATCTCATTCTTCTAAGGCGCGACACAAATGCGAGTCGCTATTTAAATGTTAATCTTAAAAGACTCTGGATTTAACCACTTTACTCTTCCAACTGGATTACATATTCTATGTACTCTCAACGTTCACTGGATATCCGATTAAGTTATCGATTCCTGAAAAAACTGATTAGGGTGAGCACTCATAATGAGTAGTATTTATAGTTCTCAGGTCTGATAAAAAAGCTTGATAAAACTTCAGAAGATTTGACAAAACAAATAGAAAGTAGGAAGATTTGAAATAGTTTCTTAATTGAAATATTTACACACTCAGTATCCATTGAAGCCATATAATGAGAAGTTGTTTCTTTCATGTACATTTACTCGTTATTTATTGTCTTCTTTACACAGCGTATAATTAACCAGACATTAACCGATAACTGTGAATGGCACCTCAGAGCATCAAGGCATGGGATAGGCTTTGAACGCCAACTAACCGAAGACGACATCATCGACGAATCTCAAAAACACTTCCCTTCTAATCCATTTACTAACGCAACAATCTATGATGGAAGGTCTCCAACGTTAAATGTAATTGATGAGAAATCCTATACATTAGCTTCCGGTTGGACTCATCAACTGTGGCAACCTGAAGCGACGTGGCAAGTTTATGGATTCCGGCCAAAAGGATTACTAGCTGTTATTGAGAAACAAAGAAACTCCTCAGGTTTCCAACGTTTCTTTTCAATCAATAAAGGAGGTTTCAACCAATCGAACGTAAATAGCACCTCAACAACATCTCCATCATCCTCAAGTAATACTGTGAAAATAGGTTCACAAAAAATGTTAGTTTTAGAAGCGCCTGCCTATCACTTCAACACATTGCATCATAAAGCAAAACTTGAACATTGTAGCATGCTGAAAAACAAACTCGCAAAACTCGTACAAACGGAATTACTTATGAGTTTACAAATCCTAGGTAAATATAGACAAGCCTTTCGGAAATTCACACTTCTTATTTACAAACATCCAATGACTAATCATAAGTATAATATTAATAAGGTAACATCAAATACTCTAGCGGAACTGCTAGATCAGTGGCTGATGCTTCTGGACTATAAATGGCGCCAGACAATTAGATTAACCTACAAAACAGACTCAATATCCAATTATCAAGTGGAGAATTGTTCGTTGAGTTTCAAATCATCGTTTGAAATAAACACTGTTGGTAATGATAGTGATGATAGAATACTAGTCAAATTTTATGAAACACAACTGAAAACAAAGATATATTATGATCTATTTGAAATTGTACAGGATATAGTCCAGTGGACTGGCGAACAAAAACGGCATTGGCTTAAGAACCCACGGGTTATGAAATTATTTCATTATTTACATATCAAATGTCCATCGTCCAAAAAGTTGAGGCAAGCCTCATTTATATTAAGACAATATCTACCAAATTACTCACCAGAAGTCATTCATTCCAAGAATAATTTTCATTTTGGTCTCATGGGTAGCTTGGAGCTGGCAACATTTAAACAGTTCTTAGCACATGACATTAAATTAGCTAACAAACTAATTGATCGGGCTGTTTATATGAAATTTGAAGAGTATTATTTTTGGCCGATATTACGACATGTAAATACGAAAGCGGTCGTGGAACACTCGATTTTCTTTGAAAATGATGTGCGCAATGAAATTAAACAAATGCCTTCGAATAGCATGTGCTATAGGCTATTTATGAGGAACTGGAAATTTTATAGAGAAAATGATTCACCTAGATCATGTTTAAAATAATACTACTTCCTAAATTTACAATTCCAATTATGTCAAACTACTACATAGTAGTATAAATCTCTTCACTAAAGTTCTAGATTTTTATTTGGTTGTTCATTGTTATCGCAAGTATCATTTTTATAGTACTTAACCCACTTAATACATTTCAATAAGTTGTTTTTTATTTGGAAATGAACTGTGATGCATTTAAAACGATGATCATTTTTATTGTATTTAATATTGCTACTATTACGACCACCATTAGGACTATTGATATAATGTTGGACAAGGACGTTTACAACTGATACTCTATTAACATTAACACTATCTTCATATTCAATTTCATTTGTATACAAGCACTATTTCGTCAGTAATGTTTGAGTTGAATACTAATTAAATGTAAATGGTCGTTAAGTTTGATTGTGAATGACAGTGATGAACAAGTCAACAGTACAAGATTATTCTCAAATGAAAGTAAATAACAAATATATGTCCACATTCTTTTGTATATTAAAACACATGTATATATTATACATACATATATCTGCAAATTATATAAATAAATGTGTAATGTTAGTATTTAAAATATTCTCTTTTGCAATTGTTCAATACATACTTTATAATGCTATATTCATGATGATATTATGAAGCTAAAAAGAAATAGGAATATAAATCGAAATGGGTATCCAAACTTCCCCATCTGATTGTTATGTGTTTCCGTTCTAATTGCCTTCATTTTTTACTACAACTACTATCCTTTGATTATGTTTGTAATACGCAATTATACATAAACATACACGTATACTAATACACACTCAGACAAACACAAACGAATAAGTACACTTATTGTATACACTCATGAATTACCAATGTTCCTTTTTCTTATTGTTAATAATAAGTGAGAACAAAAACATTTGATGGATAAAAAATAATTGGACTTTTTGATGAACACCAGATTATTGAACACTTATTTAGAACCTTTTTTGTCTGAAAAGTTGTCCATGATATACATTCGTGGCTACCTAAATTTTAGTGGTGATAAATTCTGTGTGTTAGACAACTTAGTAAGATTTCATTATCACAGTGGACAATAATATCAGTGTTACGTTCTTCGACTACCCAATCACACACATATATACATACTCTCCATATCAACCCCAGTCTGGTGTAAGAGTGAGAAAACTAGGAATATGTGGGAAGCTCTAGCTGCCGACCGAATCAAAGTGTACACGACTCATATGTACGCGCATGCGTATGCCTCCTTCCACATTTCCTACCTATTGTTTGACCTTAAGCTAGCATGTGCACACAGGAACGTGATATTTCTGGACTAGCTCACCTTACCAGTCATACGTTGACTTTGAAGTATCATTTTGAGTTACAAAGCTTCTCTACTATCCCATGGATATTTAACGTTGGTAATACGTTATCTATTATATAATGGAAGGAATGATCTTTATAAACTGTTGCTCTACATTTACTAACTTTGACTGGGTAACACTATTGATTATTGAATCAACTTATTGGAATACGTAACATTCGTAGCGTCAGATTGATCCCACTTGTTTGTTCTTCGTAGTGTTGGTGTCTTATGACTACCTAGTTCGGGTTCGTGCACTAACTTTTTCGGAGGCATCGGATGACTATAGTGTTTAATACAAACAGGCTAAATCTACACAACTGTATACTCATTTCGATGGAGCATGCAACTACCAAACTCATTACTTTAGTTCTATTGGTTAGTTTCTGCTCAGTTGTGTAATTAGTTTGAATGCTTTATATGCGAGTCCTTCTAACATACCAGTGTCTAGTTACCCGTTTATCTATCCGTTAATTACACTTAATTATTACATTGATTTATAAATATTTGGGACATGCTGATGAGCAATTGAGAATCCGGACAGTTTGGACTCATTTCAATTCACTGCAGATTAAACCAGTCTAATGCAATGCTGGATTTATTTCATCCTAATCCCTATACTATTGTTATTTCAGTCCAGCTGTGTTCGCTAAATCTTGTCATACTTTGATTGTTTATTATTACTGTACTTGCCAGTTAATTCAATTACTTGAATATACATTCAGGGCCATTCGTATTTGAGTTCTTACTTAATCCATTCGTCCTGGGTCATCGAATTGGAGACAACGAATATAACTGTGACATAGCTCAAAATCCGTCAAAGCGCAGATGCGTCCAACATTAATCTCCTCCTACATCTTCGGCCTCGATATTGTTTCGAGATTTTTATACTGTTTCAGTCAGCCAAAGAAATTTAGCAAATTATCGCTCTTGACTCAATTTTAAACAAATACTTGCCTCGGTTGAAACTATATCGAATTACTGAAATTTTTTATTTCGTTCACAAAATGAAGAAATAGTTTCACTGATAGTAATTAATCTTCCATTTGAGCGGCTGGTATTATCGTAGTTTCTCCAATTATATTTATGGGATTCATGGTATGTACATCAACCCAAAGAAAATGAGTCTGACAAAATAAATAACAAACTAAAAGTCGTGCAAATACTTTATTTTTTTCAAAGTGTTATGGAAACTAGTTAGCTGAAACATACATTATCCACAAAAATGCACTGCAATGGTTTAGGTATAAAAATATATTACAGACGATATTGTTGAAGTTTTGCTTTTTCTAACAGTACGTCTTCAGCTGATAACTCATTTTGTTTAGTTTGACAAAGCTGACCAATGTTTCTTACAATTTCATTGGGTGTCTTTAAAATTGTCTGATTATATAGGGGTTCGTAAAACGGATGCCACATGCCTTGAATTGAAGGGCGTTTAGTCGACCAGTATTTATATATTGGAAAAATATTCACCCCGGAACGAGTACGTAAGAAATTAATCCAGTTAGCAATTTCTTCACAAGTCATATCTTTTGCACGTACATACTGCCAGTTACCACATACTAAAAGAATAATAATAATTCGTAAATATTCAAACCTACGATACTCAGCAACTAGAAGAGGAGGTCTATTTCTTCGTGGCTTTACATAGATAACGGTTGCTGGATTATCTCGAGCGAAGTCCACTAAGTGATTTTCAATATAATCTCTGTGTAAAAATTATTAATAGTAATAGTACGAAGAAAACGCAAAATAATTCCACATCAATGGTAAAGGTTATGGGTTGAAAAGTTTGGCAGTGCATATATTTTATGTACTAGTTGCATACAAATATGAATATCAAAACCTTATTATGAAGAGATTCTAGAAGTGATTGTTAAAATGTTTGTTGACCACAAAACTCAAAAGTTATTGCATTAACAAACCTTTAATAACTCTATTGGTCGAAATTATGAACGGTTAACTTGAAATTATGGGGTTCTCGACCGAATGGATAGGGGAATTTTCGTCGATTCAAACACCACTAGTGGTTTATAAACCGGACACTTTGTTATAACTTGTGGCCTGAGTGCCCTGTTGATGGATAACACAATAATAACGCCAATCAGAGAGTAGTGAATTATCGACCGGACCAAGGACGCGTAAACACGTGCGAGCAGTCTAGATTCCTGATTGGTCCTGCGTCCTGCCTAGCCCAGTTCAGAACACCAATCTCAGTCTCTGCAGTACGAATCATGTATTTCAAACATACTCGGTTTATATACCAATCAAACAGACCACAACGTACTATAAAATAACATTTGTACAAAATTTGGTCAAATGTGGCTGTGAATATGGGAGGCAGTGACTAATAGACAAGGCATAATTCAAGAATGGTAAAACATATAATAATGGTTCATAGGTTAAAATAAAGCTTATAATAATATGAATAGTTCAGTCATTTAAAAATTATGCGATAGAAATATACGTTTAGTATTGGTCCATAGATGGATCTCAAAGTTACCATTCATTATGCTTATCGGGACCTAACACACTTGTAGTTGAACTAATGAACTAAGTAGGTGGAATGAGATTGATACTGACTTATTACTCAAGGAAGCTAGAAATAATCTACTAAACAAGAACTTCGTTTATTTTACCCAAAAAGATTTCAATATTCATTGACCATCTGAAATAGTTAAGAATGAAGCCTGCCAACAGTACTTAACAACCTTAGTACTCAAAGTTTATGTCACGAGACCATGCACTGGAAGTTTGTTTTTTACTCGATTATTGGGGTAGTACTATCTACTACCAATGAAAACAACAAATAACTTATTCATCAGGTACTTAGGTATGAGTCATATTGTAAGTGTGAGGGCTGATGATACCACCCAAATATCTGAACCAAAATAGGTGAGACAGGGTTCGAACACGGGGTCTTCTGGACGAGAGTCGAAAGTCATAACCACTAAACAACCGCTCCATAAAACTGTTCAATCTTTGGTTAACTGAAAATCATAAAGAATGGAAGTCATAATTATATGCTTGCTAATCACTAAGGTAAAAAGTCAGATACGGAAATGTACAACGATTCACTTAATTATGAAGTCAGGAATTTAACAAGACCGTAAACCAGCAACAGGTATCTATCATAATGGATTAGAAAGTTAAAGAAAATGTGTTTTATTTATTCATTTATTTGAACACATAAATAGGGGTACAAGAGGGCACCAAATATATATGCGCCACAGCACAAATGTTTATTACGATATGCGTTCATTCGAATGATTAGACAATAACAGAATAAGATATTAAACACATATTGTGGTGTTGTAACCAGCACAGACAAATGTATTTCAAAATGGCTCAAATGAGTAAACTTGCCAAATACAACACTAACAAGTTGCAAGTAGATTTAAAAGATGTGAAACAAATGACGGAATTAAATGATACCAACACTAAGGGAGGACCAAACGAAAGACACAGTTTAAATAATACATCTAATGTGTAGAGAAAGAGCAGTTGTCTGGATTCGGTCACCCTTAGTCTTCATTCAACTCGCAAGTTTATGCCTAATCTTTGAAGAGCACTTTTATACTTTTTTATTGTCACAGATACCATAATTATTTAGACTTATTTATTAGTTCTACCTAGCTATGCTAATTTGGAATGAAGAATTGGGATGGTGAATGTTTGTATCACGTCCTACGTTAATTGTGAGAGTGACTGACCTCCAACCTATTCCTACACTGATAAGAATAGTGTGGAGACTTTGGTGCTGGTCAGAAATCCGTGATACATATTCCAACCATCTTTATGGATAGACAGCTATACAGGACATTATTCACTTAGTGGACCCAATACAAGCGAGTGGTACCTACATGATACATAGTATCAAATAACTGCAGTCTATGCATATACTCCACTTTCAGTGATCACGTTTTGAACACGTGAAATAATAAGGAGAGGATCGGCAGAGTACCTCCCAACTTCCCTGTACGGGCTATGTGGGGGAAAATCCGCCTTCCCTCCCAAAATACTCTAATTACTACTTACTCACTTACCCTTGTCAACCAACGTGGAGAATAGGCTCCCAACCATTCGGCCATGTGTTTATAATTTCTGCCATGAAGGTATAACTCACTAACTCCACATAATAGGGTAGTGATTACGAAAGTGAGAGAAAAGGCGAAAACACTACGTTTAAACCAGATTGGTGGGTACGGAGGATCCACTGAGGGATGGAAATCTATGATTACAGGCCAATGATGTGCGTAGGCTCCAGAATGCTGAGGGAATGAGTGGTGCAAGAACCTATTTTTGGTAACTGGATACTATGGAGCGGCACCTACAGGCGTTAGTTCACTCCCTTGAGGTTAAAGGTTCGAGGATCAGCCACTTGCATAAACTATTTACTCCGATTTCGATGCCTCGGCAGTATCACATCTGACAAAAACTTATTTTGTGTGAAGCATACCACTTTTGGAGCCTAGTTGCGCCAAATTTTATAAGAACCAAACAAATAAACGGTGAAATAGCTCAATAAGAAGCATTTACTTGTCATTTTCAAGCCATAAATGTGAGCTGACAGGAGCTAAATGAAACCGTTGTATTCACGTCAAGATTTTAACAACCGAAAGCCCGTTTGGATTGTTTGATTTGCCAGATTAAGTGAATTGGATAATGGTTTCATTTGCTCTACTTTTCTACGCCAAATTATGCATTAACTAGCATAACTATGTCACTCATGTGCAAAAGATCAATGCAGAGTGAATACGATTACCCCTAGTGATCAAGAAAACCCCAACTAATCAACTGATGATAAAAAACAAAGGGTTACAAACATACCTGACACCTTGACTATCTCGTCGAAATTTACAGCACTTTAGTGTTATTCGCTGTAATTGAGGAACGAATCTTGGAGTTGTAGTTCCATAAACAGCATGTAGTATGGCTCTTGGTAAGGCGTTACCAGACATGTAAAGTGATTTTAAGATCTATTTATTGATTAATTTCCAATACTGGGGATTTTTGTTTTTATGCTTTGTACTAGAAAATCAAAAAAATCCGAATAAAGTGTAATTTCTAGTCAATACAAAAATACTTGAACTAAACAGAAAGCCATAAGAAAACAAGAAAAAGCTAGGCAATGCAACTGGAAAAGTTGTGAGGACCACAAAATTATCTGATAATCCTTGAAGTCGAACATATAGATAAGGAATAAATTGAAGTGTTCGTCCAACTTATCGAGTTTTGGATCCTTTCTGAATTTCAGTACATGGAAATATCAAAATTTTGAAGAGGTTATCAAATCATGAATTTGATTCACACTAACTGACTCACGTTGGCGTGACCCATTAATAATAGATTAGCAGAAACAGACAGGCGAACCGGCAGGTTTTTGTTTTTGCTCAGCTTCTAATTTATTTTAAGCTTTTTTTATTTATCTATCTTTTGACTATTCAAGTGAAGATGGGTCTCCTGCATAAACTCATCACACCGAAATCATCTACGATGGGACTACTCGTATTTTTAAATAGGTAGTGCCAGTTTAAAATAAAACTATAAAACTGATGTCTCGAGCCGATGGGAGTAATACATGTAGCTCCAACACTTAGCTGTAGTCTTAGAGAGAACAACAATGAATTTAAAAGGTTTGAGTTACTCATTTGAACGGAGAATGATAGATATATAGACATATCAAAAGGCATCCCAAATATCCTGGTTCAATGGCAGGAATACGAAAAGCATGATTCAGTTCCTACCATTGAATACGAACATTTACTCAAGCACGTATGACAACTGTCGATAAAAGCTTATGATTAGAAGTGGGTTAATCAGTAATTACTGACTATGTGTCCGTAATAGAGAACAGGATTAGTTTAAAGACGGTTTATAGAAACGAAGAAAACCTGGAATCCAGACAAATAGCAAAGACTTGAAGAAAGTGACGGGAGAAAACCAGCGGAGAAAAAGTAATGAACGACTAAGGAAAAGTTCCGTATGAAAGAACTACTTTAACACCAACAGAATCTCAGAAAAATAAAAAAAAAGTTAGTCAATTGATATGCTTACAAAATACAGATTCAGATTTGTAAAGTAAGGACAGAAGGCCTATGGCCTATGTTATTCCTTTTCTAGTATGCTTCTGTGAGTGTCCAGACTTCTCTTGAACGAGTCAATTGAGGGTGCGGACACTACTTCGGGCAGCAGGTTCCAAGTATTGATGACTCGGTGTGAGAACCTGTATGCTACGGGTATTTTGTTCGTTCTTGGCTTTTCTACTCGCCTGCTATGTCCTCTGAGATGTCCCGATCTAGTGGGAAGAAAAAGAGAGAGTAAGTTAGGTCCAAAATCGTTTCTCAGTATTCTGTACATCAAAATTAAATCTCCCCTTAATCTGCGATAGGACAGTGTGAAGAGATCTAGCTTTCCAAGCCGCTCTTTGTATGGTAAACCCCTTAGTTCTGGAATTGCACGGGTAGCTGCCCTCTGTACTTTTTCTAGGATATCCGAGTCACCTTTTAAACATGGACTTGCAGCCTGAACGCAGTTCTCAAGTTTAGTTCTCACTAAAGACATGTATACTTTGTTGAACATGATAGTATCTAGCTTTGTGAATGTCCGTTTTAAAGCCCAGAGGGTTCGAAACCCCTTGGCTGCGACCTCCCGGCAATGGGTCGTCGTCTTAAGATCCTGACTGACTGTCACCCCCAGATCCTTATGAGACCGAACCACTGGTAATTGCACTTCCCCTATGTTATATCTATTAACATTTGAGTCCCCGAAGTGCATGTAGACACACTTTGCCGCGTTGATAGGCATCAGCCACTCTTTAGACCAATTAATTATATTATTTAGGTCTGCTTGAAAAGCATCTGAGTCTGTGTCTCCAGTTATTACTCGCCAGATCTTTACATCGTTAGCGTATAATAACATTGGAGACTGTACTTTACTTGGAAGATCATTTACATACAGTATAAAAAGTAAAGGACCTAGGACGGAACCTTGAGGTACTCCACTAAGTACTGGTCTCCATATGGAGCACTTGGAATTTATTCTTACCTTCTGTCTACGACCTACTAGGAAATCCTTAATCCATTTTAAAAGGGGTCCAGCAATACCAAGGTTTTCCAACTTTAATAAGAGTCTATTTGTTGGCACCTTGTCAAAAGCCTTACTGAAGTCTATGTAGACAACATCCACTGAGTTTCCGTTGTCTAGCGCCTTTATCCAGAATTCCCTTTCTAAAAGGAGGTTTGTTGTACAGGATAGACCCTTTCTAAAACCATGTTTAACAAGTTATTTGTTTCAATAAATTTCACTATTGTCCTTTTGACTATTCTTTCCAATATTTTAACTACAACGCTGGTGAGGCTTACAGGTCTGTAGTTCGATGGAAGTTGTCTTGGTCCTGTTTTATGTATGGGAGTGACGATTGCGTCCTTCCAGTCCATAGGTAATACACCTTGATTAAGTGACATATTGAATATCACAGTCAGTGGGGCCGCGATATATTGTGCAATATGTCTCAATATTTTAGGGTGTAGTTCATCTGGTCCTGTTGACTTTTCCATGTTTAAGGTGCTAAGAACCTTAAGCACATCGTCTTAGTCAAAGTCCACAGTGAGCAGGTGGTTTATTGACTCTTTATTTTGGTCTGGTTCTTTGTCCAAAGGAGGTTCCTGAGTGAAAACTGCCCCGAAATAGTCAGCCATAGCCTCTGCTTTGTCCGGATCTTCCTCTATCATTTCAAATTCACTCCCTTCTTTAATTAGATTTGGAATCCAATGATGCATCCTTGTTCTGTAGATTATGTACGAGAATATTCTCTTGGGCTGCTTGAGTGCTGATTGTGCCAACTGCATTTCATATTTTCTTTGAGCTTCTCAAATTTTTGTTATACACTTGTTTCTTACCGATCTTTAGTGTTCCATCGTACCTGCTGTGCCAAGGCGGATGGCGACATCCCAACATTTCTTCTTTTGTCTTATTAAACGTCGAATATCCCTGCCTATCCAGGGATGTCCGTGTTTCTTCTTCTTTGGGACTGTCCATGGTATGTATGGTTGTGTTACCCGGTTGTATAACTGCCTGAAATGCGTCCATGCCTCTTGTACTGATGCTCTTGAGTCAATTTCCCAGTTTTCAGCCGATGCTGCGGAGTTGATGGTCTCCATATCTGCCTTCCATATGTTAGGACGCGCCGGCGCAACTGTGTGACAGGCAATCTCGGCCACGAATTTGAATAAGATGACTGCATGGTCACTTTTCCCTAGCGGTGGGAGGAAAGTCATTTGACCAACGTCATCACCGTGTGTGAAGACTAAATCTAAAAGAGAGGAGTTTCTTAAGGCATATCTTGTGGGAGTTCTAATATGTTGGAACAAAGCTAATGCAATCGATGTTTCTAACAGTTTGAAATCGAATGACGTTATCGATGACCCAACTTCTAAGTTCACCCAGTTTATATACGGTACGTTAAAGTCGCCTACTACAAGGCTTTTACCCTTGTTACACCAGGACTTAAGTTTACTTAGGAGAAAATCATCTACCACGCATTCTGGACTGCGATATTTATTTATTTATTTTAACACATAAGTATAGGTACAAGAAGGCACCAAATACATATGCGCCACACGAATCTCATTTGATATGTGTGAGGGCTGTGATACTGCCCGGGTGCCCAAACCGAAGCAGGTGGTTTTCTTAGGGGGCCACACCCCGAGCCTTCGACCTGAAGATCTGATCCACAAGGCAGTGGAGCATCGTAAGGAGATGCAGTCCCATGGTAGCCGGTGACCAACGATTGGTTCATACGCCATTTGTTCCTTCAGGATACTGGAGCCCATGTGCACCATTGGTTTGGGATCCGGTTATAGCGCCGGACATTCGCTTTTCGTCCTCTCATTTTTGCAAACAACACCCCCGCCACGAGAAGGCAGTGAGTAGGACATTCCTGGCAGGGGCTGTATACGCGTGGCCATGTGAGAGCATTTTGAGAGGGAGAGCGGACTGCGATATACTACAACTAATTCAATGTCTTGCCGTCCACATTTCAGCCTACATCGCACCAATTCACATGTTCCTGAAACATGTGCCACTGTCTCAGCTACTCTTATAGTTAGGGTACTTTTCGGGTACAGGATAACCCCGCCTCCCCTACGATTTAATCTATCAGCCCTACTGGATAAAAAAACCAGCTAAGTGAATTTCATTATCTAATATTTCCGGAGTTAACCAAGTTTCTGAGACAGCAATAACATCCGGTTTCTCTTTATCCACCATTGACTTAAGCTCCGCCATTTTATTTAGTGCCCCCAAATGCCCTGGTATGGCCGAGAGTGGGGAGAGTCCGCTCTCCCTCTCGAAATGCTCTCACATGGCCATGCGTATATAGCCTCTGCCAGGGAAGTCCTACTCACTGCCTTCTCGTGGCGGGGGTGTTGTTTGCAAAAATGAGAGGACGAAAAGCGAATGTCCGGCGCTATAACCGGATCCCAAACCAATGGTGCACATGGGCTCCAGTATCCTGAAGGAACAAATGGCGTATGAACCAATCGTTGGTCACCGGCTACCATGGGACTGCATCTCCTTACGATGCTCCACTGCCTTGTGGATCAGATCTTCAGGTCGAAGGCTCGGGGTGTGGCCCCCTAAGAAAACCACCTGCTTCGGTTTGGGCACCCGGGCAGTATCACAGCCCTCACACAGATCAATTGAGATTCGTGTGGCGTATATGTACTTGGTGCCTCCCTGTACCTATACTTGTGTTAAAATAAAATAAATATTTTATTTAGTAGGCTGCGAGCATTTGTGTAGCATACCTTTAAGTCTGTGGAGAACTTTCCCTTACACCCAGAGTGGTTTGGGGATCGTATTGCTCCGAACTTTTACAATTTGAAAACCCTTAAGAATGAGGTTTTTTTCGCCGTTTCGGCGACGCTCATTTATTTCCACTTCTGTAGCTCGTCTCTTAATACGATCAGCTAGGCTGAGATCCTCACGGACATACATTCCGGATCCAATCAGTTTGCGTGAGTTACCTAAAATCAGGTTCCTTTCTTCAACCGTGGCAAATGTTACCTTCAAGAGGCGGTTTTTCTGAGGGCTTTCAGAATCCACCTTTCGTCCTATTCTATAAAGCTTACAAATGCTAACTCCTGAAACTGTATCTGGGAGTAGTTTGCTTATTAAGGACTTAATGTGACTGAAGTCGTGTTCGAATCTAGCCTTTGGTTCCTTATCGGAAGGTTCTCTTAACTTATGAAAAATGACTGACCTCTCAGAGAGATCTGTCTTGACACTCAGTGGAATTTTTGTTTCTGATACCGTCTCTTCCAATGACTTGCTAACCATCTGCGGTTTGCCTACAGCTTTTTTCTTCTCATTTCTCTTTCACCGTGCTGGAGTCCATTTATCCTCACTCAGGACAGCCACACTGGGACTATTTGGAACGATGACAGTGTTATCCGGGTCTTCAATTTCCACTAAAGGTGTATGATTTCCAATGTCAATATTTAGCGGCACTTCACTCCTCGTTAATGTTAACGATGTTTTTACTTTTCCATTAATCACAATCGGGTGTTTAACGTGTTCGGTAGCAGCACTTACTACACTGACACATTCTTCACTGTCAGTGCTCGTGATGTCAGGACAACCGCCATCGTTTTTCTTACAGGCCAAAGCCAATAGGCTCATAGCCTTTGGATTAATAACTTTTTATTTGTACAGCAAAACATACAAAGCCAATGCGAGTTTGGCTTCGAGCATCTTTTGTATGCCGTAGGACTTAGACGGGTACACATCTTATGATACCACTTTTTACATTCACCGCACTGCATTCCTTCCTCAACGGGGAACAAGCACTTCGGTTGTCCACATTTATAAGTCTTACTAACCATTGTAATTTGATTTAAAACTTTTAAAACACACTATGATCACAACGTGAACACGAGTGTCAGTCAATGAGTAAGCAAGAAGGCACCACAAGACAAAGTTTAGAAAAAATCTCAAACTATGACCAAAGTACTTTTAGTTAAAGTAGACCAAGAATGCTTTCTGTTCCCACTAGTAAGCAAAGCAATGATAATCACAACTAGTACAAAAATCACTCCACTTTTTGAAACGAGCGCAACTATATAAATACAATACTGTCTTCTTAAATGCAAGCTTTTTCTTCAGTTTGTTAAGTTTTGGATTCAATAATTTTGTACCGTCAGATACAGGAACAAAAGTAGTGAAAATACTGGAGTGAAAAGACATGGGTCTAAGCAATATGATTATATATGCCTAGACCTACCCCAACTAAATATCCAAAGTGTAACAAAAACGTATGAAAAAAGCAAATCGTGAAGAGCTATGAAAATAAACCGTTATATCTAGTAAAGTAGTGTGTAATGAAAACCAATAGTATATACAATAATGAGGCTTAAGAAGCGTCAGCTAATACACTGTAACGGAATTGTTCGAAAACCTTCCATTGACTGTCCAAGTTTTCAAGTTAATTAGCTGTAAGATAATTTTCAGTTGGCAGCAAATGGTTGTGAACTGAACAGAAGAATCTTTAGGCAATCGAGCTTTACGTTCGGGAGTAGTGCATCACCAGTACTTACAGGTATGAACCAAAGTAAGTAATCAAAGATATTTTAGCAAAGTGGTTCTCATGACTGGACGAAACAGAAGCTCTCGCTTAGATGGACTTCATATTTGGTGACAGTACACCACTGGCGCCTCCAGCAGGAATATTCTCCCATGTAGCGGTAAATAAATCCCCAAAATAAATAATTCTGGAGGTCTTCGACGTTTGGTGCTGATCATGTTAGCTTTACTGAGCACACCTAGCTAAAGGCGTCCAGTCACGTATCTTCACCAGGTCATAAGTGAGTACGCCGTGCTATATATCCCTTTCGACTGTTAGCCAGCTTAGACCTAACGTTCCTCGACATACATATAGCCTTCCAAATATGTATTCGAACTCCTTGACTAGATTAGTGTAGATCAGTTGTAAAAGTGTTACTGGTGAGGGAGTTGACAAATTACGAATACTTGTGACATCTTTAAAACACAAACACTTGGCGTTTGACATCACTTGCCCGTTAACTCGATATGTGGCTCGTGTAAAATTGTGATCCAGATCGGTGTTATTACACTTAACTTTACTACTATAATAATGGACTTAATCAGAAATTGTAGATTTACCATGATGTAACTGTCTAATCTACAAGATCTTACATTGAAGTCACAACATTATCTGTACCTACTCGTCATATCATGACAGTAGGCAGTCGCCGTTGAAGAATACACTTGAATTTAGAAGAGAATAATATATTTGACATGAAAAGCAAATAATTATGTAGTAGTAGCCACACTCGCATGGCTGAGCCATGCTCGAAACCTTTAGAACGTGACTATTACTCTGCTTGGGAGAATTCGCTAGCTGTTTATTGTTTAGGTTCTGCGTTTGGATAGTTGGAGTGTCTTCTTGGTTACGAAAAAGACCAAAATCATCATACTCACTATTTGAGGCGGGATATGTCCAGTTTTCATCATGCGGTGACTGATGTCTGCGATAAAGGTATTCTCAGTACTAGGAAACGTGAAATGTATCGTGTATGAAAACATTTAAAAGAGGAAAAGTGAGTCAGTGACTCAGCAAGCGCACAAAACTGACTTTATAGGCAAAGCAACTGGAAGTAATCCACAACTACACAAGAGTAGAATAAAAATAATCTGATGATGAAGACTAGAAACTGAAGGAGCAAGGTGTTGAATCGTTGCAGTAATCTCTGTTAGTAATGGTGGGTGTTGTTTATCTCTGCTTTCTGTTTTGTCGCAGTTCTATGTGTCTCGATTGACCTAAATATCCTCATTTAACTTGCTCTTATGTTTTTTGCGCTATGTTATGCCAGATAAATCAAAATATTTCCGGTCTTTTATTGTAAGGTAGTGTTGGGTTGTCTGTTTTATAGATTTTCGAGTTCTCATTACCGTAAATGGTTAACATGTTGTTTTAAAGGTGTTGGGTACGTTTTTTTTATCTCAATGCATCATTTTAATGCTTTGGTTAACGCCGATTTCAGCACCAAACTCTTCTACCTCCTGGCGTGGCATTGTCCTAGTTCATATATTTAGCTTATTAGCTTTGTTTCTGAGGTTGATTTAGTCCCTGAAGCCTGTCTATGTAGTAAACAGGCTTTTTAGGAGCCATCATTCCTGTTTGGTTCACTTAGGAGCGGTTATCACGTGATTAGTAGAATGCAATATAGATCTCTGTTTAGGAGATGATTTAAATTATTTTAGGATTTACGGTTTAGTAACCACGACAAACGAGTCGTCAGTTCGTAGTGGCATTGGACCCTAACCACACAACCTTCAAAGCTGAACACGAGACAATTGGGAAAATAGATATTCAAAATCTAACGCGAGAAAAACCCAACGATGGACAAGGCAAAAATAAAAAATTTAATTAATTCAGATTCATCGAATGGCTTGGCTCATCCTTGCAGGCGTGATCATTCTTGTGTGTCTTTTATTCAAATTAAACATATTGTTCTATCTTCCGCGTAAATATGTTCTTCATCATATATTGGTGATTGTTACAATACAATGAGTCAGTGTAGTTGATAATATGACTTCCACATAAGATCATGTAGATTAAGCAGTTATACCATGACAATTCTACAATCTTAGGATTAGGTCTATTATTAGCGTAGTACCAATAACTAGATAGACGATGATTCTACAAGTTAATCGTTTCAGGAGTGCCTGAACCCTCAAATAATGCAAGATCTAATGATTCAAACTTATTTTCTTAGTCGTATCCTAGGGAATAGGGTGATTTTAATTTTCACATTACTTGGGTTTTGCTGACGTTAAAGTTTTTACATTTTTTATAGAGTAATCTCAAAGTTTTATGCTCAGCGACTATATTTTGATAAACTTTTGATTTAATCTGTCGACGACTGGGACATCCTGGACACCATTCTTCCCTTAGACGTTGTAACGACCGAAATGCCAGTATTCGGTTTAAACGCAGAACTGACGAACCAAAATTTATTCAAATAGGTCAGACTACGTTCTTCCATATAGCTTACAGAACGTTTTTGAGACAATCGTATAAAATTATATCAAAACACAAACTCTGTGCTCAATTTAAACGGTTCTAACTTAGGAAATAGAAAAAACTATATCAAAAATACAAAATACCCCAAACGGTACAGCCTGTGCTATACAGTCAGAAGTTTCTAACGCAAAGTAGCGCGCTAAACATTAAAAGAAACAGTTAATACCAAAGGGTTTGATACCTGAGAATCAATAAAAATATTCCCAACGAAATGGGATCAAATATCTGTTTGCAGGGATTCCAGCAATCCTCCCAAGCAGACCGTCAAAAGGTTAGCAGTCACACAATGAACCACGCCATGACCTTCAGCTTAGTCAAGCACGACTCCATTGTCAATAGTCTGGCAACATGCAATAGAAAATTAGGTAACAAAAGACGAGTCTTTAATCAAAATCACATTATAGAGGCTCAAATGAGGAAGACTGAAGAACAAAAGGTGTGGTTAAACGAGACCTGAACAAAGGTTAAAATACACGGCAGGGAGGAGAAACAAATAAATGACATTACTGTCCGACAAAAAAGCTGCAGAGGGATTTCCATCGTTCTCTTTCCGTTACGGACGTGTTCTAGAGGAAGGAATCTAGGCAAAATTATCTTAGAAACTAGAAATATCAGGCTTTAACGTTTCGTCACAATTGACTGATCACTGAGTGATGATTAATGTCATGCGTGTCTAGTCCTTATTAGCGCAGACCGAATTCTATCGATCATTTTGTAATATGGCCACTAGTCTAGGTGACTCGACACTGCGTGCACTATTGTGAGATTAGGTGTTGGTTGGAGGTAGTCAGCAGGAAACCCTGGACCCGGGTTTCGTGCTACTTGGCACCCGTCAGCAAGGTGTAGCTGTAGCCTTGAGGGAACTGATACTCCCTGACGGATTCCATCCCGTGTCACCTAGCTTCATAATAAAAGACGTTACCACTGAGCTATCCGTGCCGCGACCGACCTTCTGTAGGATTGAGATGTAATCACAATCGATTGATCACTAGGTGGTGATTAACGTCATGCGTGCCTAGTCGCGGCCCGGATAGCTCAGTGGTAACGTCTTTTATTATGAATCTGGGTGACACGGGATCGAATCCGTCAGGGAGCACCAGTTCCCCCAAGGTTACAGGTACACCTTGCTGACGAGTCTCAAATAGCACGAAACCCGGGTCCAGGGTTTCCTGTTGACAACCTCCAACCACCATCTAATCTAACGATTCCTGAAAACCACGTCATCCAACGGCATGCGACTTGCACATCTTCACGGCCCTTCTGAAAATATGGATTTGAAGATATACTGCCGTATGTCTCTCTCTAAATACTTTTCGGCTTCACGGTACCTGACGCTACGTGGGGGATTCGTCTGTCACTTATTGGTTGCTTTTATGGTGTTGATTTGACGTACCAGCGTTGCACTATGAAAATAAGTGAGTGCAAGACGACGTTGCTGACTAACATTAGTGATGGTTAGGAGATAACGACAATCCACTCATGATCGTAGAGCAAACGTTTGTTAACTTAAGGCTCCGTATGGTCTGGTGGGATGTGACTAGCCAACTGTATTGATGCTAATTTGTTATGCGAAATACCTCTTCGAGCAATGTTTGCAATCTTGAGCTAGTTTAACTTCCTGCCAAGAATTCCTATTATAAGCAAACCTGGACAATTGCGCTAAAATAACGTCTACTTATGACCATGCAAATTTTATAATAATAAAAATGAGCTGAACTAGCCTTGGTGAAAAAATCAAAAAAGGGGATATGGCCATTTGTGTATCCGAATGCTGTTTTCTGTACTATATTTTGAAACTGCACACGATCCTAAATTTTCAGCTTTTCTTTGACCCATCTCCATTTATACAGTTCTTTAATCATTCATTACCATACTTAGGCTTATCTCCTTTAAATTATTAGGATGCTCTTCTTTAAAAATTAACTTAACAAAAGAGGATTAATCGAGGTAGTCACACCTTAATTATCTCATCATAAGTGACCTAACTTCAATGATTATGAACATTCTCTGTTCTATTTCTCGTCTTTCCACTTCTTACTCTCCTCTTCAACACCCTTATGAGATGCCACCGAAAACATCTATGGCTTCATCCTGAGCCATTTTAATGCCTCAGATATTGTTAGGTTGAAGCTTAACGAGTTCACCTAAATTGCGAACGAGAACGAGGTTCGATGACCAACGACCAGTGAGCTAGCTAATGACGCGTCCTAGCCCCGCTATCTAGAGAGAGAAGACCAGGCTTGAAATGAGAGTATATTCTGCAACAACCAGAAAACCAGTAAACCTTTCCACAAGACAATTTTAATAACGTATATATACAAATATACATAAATATATATATATATATATATCGATATTGCCATGGAT